CCGGCCCAGTGAAGCAGGCCAGGGATGCAGGGATCGCACAGGCCAGGCCGCCAGGGACGCAGCTTTCCTTTAATCTTGCAGACGCAAATCACGCACGTAGACGTGGCTTGCCTTCTTCTATCGTGACAATTCCTCAACTAGTGGATCTGTAGGTGTATGTCGTCATGTACAGACGTAGTCCATTCTCCCTTCAAAATTGAGATCTTTATTCCATATCTTCAGGCCCCGATCTCGCGAGTTTGTTTCTATCGGCCGCAGCGATTGCTGAGTCGATGGTTTGCTCAAGCCTGATGCGATGTCCCAATTGCTGGACGCCATTGCACATGGCCTCCCGCCTGCCGCCAGGGCCATGCACCAGTCCACCTTGCCTCATCGTCGCCATCGTCCGATCACGGACGCTGATCCAATCGATTTTAGGTATATCATATTACGTTTCTCACAATCTCAATCGTATTGCTAACTAACTAATTTACTTCCGCATACACGATGTATATCTTGCGTCATTCAACCTATAAAATATTTTTTCTTTAACTAAGTGTCTTTACGTATCATTTTGTATTTGTGTATATTAATCAGAATCCAAATACAACACGACGGCCGCGCTACATGCTACTACAAAATTCCTCCGTTTGAATTTATTAGGCTACTTCGAATGTTGAGCCTAAAGCAGGTTTAAATTTAACTCATAAAAAATATGAGTTATATGCCAAAAAACTATCATTGGGTTAGTATTCCATGGATGTTTTGAATGTTCTATATTTTGTGATATATAACACACAGATTATTAGTCAAATGTTAGGTCAAAAGTAGGCTAAAAACCCTACGAGGACTAATAAATCCGGACAGAGAAAGTACCGTATCGAGCATACAATGCTGAATTAACACAACTCGTCATGGGCAACACTTTTGGATCTCACAAAAAGGATCATCCAAACATAATTTCGTAGATACAATTGTGGGGATAACTATAGGAGCGAAGATGAGGTTGTGATTTAATAAATCACGTATCCGTTGCTATTATTATAATTTATATATAATATAAGGGGCCCCGGGTTCTAGATTCGTCTCGGGCCCCCAAAATCTCAAGACCGGCCTTGAATGCACCTGAGACCGCCGACCGCCGTAGTTTCAGTTTTTTCATGTTTTTATTTTAAGTTATTATTAATGTAAGTGGACTCTGGCATACGTTTGAACTACCAAGTTTATTTATTTTAGGTTTTTATTTAGATCTAGTTTCGTTTCATCTATAATTTGAGATGCTCGGCCGCATTGGACGCACGTACGTCACCCCGGCCAAAAGAGAACACACTCTTCGCTCGGCCGACCTAAACAAATAAAAACTGGGTATGTTTGAGTTAGCGCGTTGGAGTTGGTCTAATGCCTTATACAATACTAGATGCTTAGAAAAATAAACCGGCTTTTTCTGAAGCACCAGTGTCCATTTCTATAGAAGAGACATCTAATTAAACGTCTATCATATACAAATAAGCACAGATGTATAAGAAAAATCCGATTCATTTCTCTAAGCACCTCCCCTAAGCAGCTTGCATTACACAAGGCCTAAAAGGGAACGCAATTTCCTGCAACAACGACAACACCTGCTAGAGTTGCTCTTATTAAGTTCATAAAAAACTTATTTTATATCGAAATAAATAAGAACTGAATTTGAGACAACAAGACCAACGCTCAATAACAGACCACGGATCAGTTAAAGAAAAAAAAACAAAAACAAAAACAGAGCGCGGATCGAAAACCAAAAGAAATCATTTGTCTCTTCCTCCTACCCGGACTATTCTACTACTACTACTGATGCTCAGCCTCAGGAGCGGCATGACGAAGGATGCCGCGGCGCGGCGGTCTTCATTTGCCATTCGAAACTGCTCCACGGACCACGCTGGAGTTGCTTCTCGGCCATATATGCACGTCCGGCTGGATTTACTTTTCGTGTGTGAGTCGTGCATTATTTTCTTTTATTTTTTTGCATCATTTGAGAGAGGCGAGGCGCCTGATGAAGATGTCGTATGCGTCGTCCCTGTCGAGCATGCTCACCCGAACGTACCTGGGGTCCGCGCCGAACTGGTTCCCGCTCCTCGTCAGGATCTTGTGCCCGCGGAGGAACCCCGCGCAGTCCTCCACGTCCTCCCTGTCGCACCGCAGCCACGCGAACGCTGCGAAAAGAGATCGAACAATGGCGCGAAGCGAGTGAGAACCGAGACCACGCGAGACATCCGGGCGAGCGTACGACATGCGTACGTACCAGGGTTATTGGCGGCCGTCTCGTTGGCGAAGTTGCAGCGGCCGGAGGTCTCGGCGGGCAGGCTGAAGATGCCGGAGGCGGCGGCGGCCTCGCGCAGCATCCTCCAGCGCTCCACCATCTTGCGCCGCCCGAAGTCGAACAGCCGGTGGCGCGAGGCGTCGCCGTCGACGTAGCCGTCGGAGACCGCGCTGAGCACCTTGGCGGCGCGCAGCTGCGAGTCCTTGGACACGCCGATGGTGTTGAGCTCCACGAACTTGGTCATCCGCCGCGCCACCTCCCGGTCCTTCACCAGCGCCCACCTGAATGCTCAACCATCGCATTTCGGTTCAGGTTCGGCAGTTCAGACTTCAGAGTAACACTCTTGTCTGAGGTGAAGTTGCAGCGAGCGACACTTACCCGATCCTCGTGCCGGCGTGGCCCGTGCTCTTGGACACGGTGAAGAGCATGATGTCGTGGTCGGCCCGTCGGGTGATGGGCGTGTACTGCGGCCAGTAGTAGGCGAGGTCATGGACGGCCTTCCCGGCGCCGGAGCTGAGCACGGCGTCGCGGATGGCGCCGTCGGGGTTGTTCGGGGAGCAGACCAGCTCGATGTAGGCGTCGCCCACGAACGAGTTTGCGTCGCCGGCCCAGCGGAAGAGCCCGGACCGGAGGAAGTCCGTGACGGCAGGGTACGACTGCATCCATGATCCATGATCAGATTCTTTCAGTGAATTTTATGTGAACTTATCCACTGAAGCAGATCGAGCCAGTGAACTGATGACTCGCTCACATTATCATAGTTCAGATTCAGATCCTCAAGAAAATAAACTATGTTTGAATAGCTAGTTCTCAGATAACCGGTTCTGTTTAAACACAAAAGCTGTTATAAGAATCTAAAATTTTGTTTGGGCAGCTTTTCAGTTTTTGGAAAACCGAAGTATTCAAAAACCACAGTATTCTTATGTGCGGAAAACAAATACTAAAAACCGTAGTTTTTCTCATGTGTGTCAAGTCCACCGAAGCGTTTGTTTTACTGTAGTTTTCTTACAGATAACAATGGTGCATGCTAAGGGCATCTTTAACATGGACCTCAAACCACCCGTAACCGACTCGACGGCACGGTCCGGACGTTTTGTGTACCATTCAACGCGGGCCTATATCGGTTCGCTCGGTCTGGACGCACATTTTTCGGCAAACCGGAGACAAACTAGGGGGCTTTGCGGGCGTTCGGACCATTGCCACACCCACGACTGACAGCCCTGGCCCACAAAAAAAACCACCCTCGCCCGCACACACTTCCCATCCCACTGCCAGCTGTCCACATTCATGCCGCTGGAGAGCGGCCGCTCCGCATCGATGCCGGCGCAGAACGGACGCAACCTCTCACCGCCGGCATTGAAGCGGCGCGCTCGCCGAGAGAGAGCTGCACTCCCAGCTTAACACTCCTCCTCGCCACATTCAAACGGCCACATACTGCCCGCCTTCCCTCATTAAACACGCGTGTGTGTCGAGAAACCTACTTTGGCCACACGTCCGTTCGTGAGCAGCCCGTCATTAAACACAACGTCGGTCAGCTCCGGCCATCCACTCACTATCTAGATGATGCCAGACGCCGGGCAAAGTCGCACACACTCCGCTCCCATCTGCTTCTTGAACTATTTTCTCTATAGTCTTCATGGCATCCGGCGAGCAGGAAGAAGAGTTCTCCGACAAAAAAGCCGGCTGGGTGGCCCGTCGAGCCCGTCGGATAAGTGCCAGACAACTCCTTGCTCCACCCCCTTGACGCTCCAGGTCGCTGCAGGCCAGCTCGTGGAGGCAGAAGGTCCAAGCCGGCGCGTTGTTCAACAACTTGTCGCTCCAAGCCAGCTCGCCGAGGAGTGGCGAATTGCTCCAAGCCAGCACACCGTGTTTGTATGAATTTCGTCCGGTTAATTCAGACAATGGTTCAAATGTATGCAGAGAGCGTTAGATGGACGGCTTCCATATCCTTGTCCGTGGAGTGGTCTCCTGTCCACATACAGGAATCGATGCAAATTTACAGATCAATGTTGGAGATGTCCTAGCTCTGCAACACCTAAAAAGCAGCACGGCGGGATTAATCCAGCATGTGCTAGTGTAGGACCGGATTAATCACCTTCTGTCTCCTATAGTCATGTGTAAAGAGTGTGCTCCAACGAGCTAGCTTGGTTCGTGCACGTACACGGCGACGTCAACAGGCTAAGCTCTCCCCGACGATTTCTCTTTCAGTTTTGAAATAAGTGGTTAGGACCTCTTTTTTGCAGAAAAACTTCAGCATGAGAGATACCCCAGTAACTTGAAACTACATTAATGTTTTAAGCCAAACACGTCAAAACATTTAATACCAAGTTTACTCCCAAACACATCCTAAAATGTGGATAAGTTGAACTAGGTTCTACAAAAAAACAATCCGCAAAAAATGAGTTTTTGGAAAAACCACAAATAACCGCTTTCCTATAATACCAGTTTTCTACGCACGTGTAGATGGCAAGGGACTCCGACGTCCTCGTCGTAGTGAGCGACTGAGCTACTGCCGCTGGCTTGTAACCTCCAGCAAGCCCGTGGCGGCGTGTTGTTCCGGGCGCCCGTTGACAACTGCGACACCATCGACGACAGTATGTTGCTCCCGGCGCGAGCGGTGCGGCCTAACGCCCATGACGATAGCTGTGACATCATCTACTTGACACCATGGACGGCGGCGTGTTGTTCTCAGGCGTGAGCGGCATGACCTCCTCGGCACCCATGGTGGCGACGGCTGCGACACCATGGACGATGGCATGTTGCTCTTGTGCAGCGCCGCTCCTCAGCGTCCATGGCGACGGGTATGGCACCAACGTGTTGTTCTCGACGCCAGGAGCACGGCCGCCTCAGCGCCTATGGCGACGACTATGACATCGGGACGCTGCTTCGGTGTCGTAACTGCACATGCAGTTGGGTCATTGACATTGGGGCCAGCTGTCTGTTAGGCTTACATGTCAGTGACCCAACTGCAGGTGCAGTTACGGCACTGAAGCTCCGCCCATGACATTGATGGAGGCATGTTGCTCCTGCAGCAAGCAATGGGACCTCCTCGACGTGGTGACTGCTGCGACACCCGCGGGTCAGAGAGCCATTTTACTATGGACAATAGTCTCCCGCCTGAGACCATTGGCACGTTGCCCAGACAGATGAGACCATTGGCATGGTGCCCGGACGGCCCATCGTCTGTGCTTGCAGCAGGATGAGTACGGAGACTATTAGGCCAACTTCAACACGACCCCATTTTGTCCATGCGTATTCGTTTAAGCCTAAACGGACAAATACGATGGCCCAACGCAGCGACCCATCCTATTTTTCTACCCGCTCTGTGTCGCTCGGATCCATTTTCGTTCTAAATTTGGGTCAGATTTGGGTCCAAAGCAAACAAAATCCGGGCGTTTTCTGAATCCATGTGGTCCGGCTATCCGTTGCATGTGAGCCATGGCCCGTTTGTCATCGAAACAAGAGGGGGCCACCCACCCACACATCCCTCTCTCTCTCTCTCCTCTTTTCTCTATTTCTCCCCCACCGATGCCGACCATGGATGCCCACTAGTCCACCTCGACGCCGCTGCCGAAGGTCAGCCACTCCACTGCCCTGTCGTCGTCGCCCTCCCCGGGTACTCGTGCGTGCTGCTGCCCTGCACGACGAGCTCCGGCATGGCACCCTGCTGCTGCTCCAGCCGCCGAAGAACTTGGGCACGACAGCGACGGCCGAACCAGCGTCCGTGCTCCACCGTGTTGTGCTCGCGCTTGTCGCCATGGTCGCGGGGCAGCAGCAGGTGCTGCTCGAGCTCGTCGCCCGTGCAGGAGCCGGTGGTCCTCTCGCGGGCCAGCAGCAGGTGCTGCCAGAGCTCGTCGCCCATGCTCCAGAAGGATGGCGCCACCTCGTGATCCTCTCGCGGGCACTTCCTGAGGAGGAAGACGGCGGCAGTGGAGGGCGCGGAGGAGCAGGAGAAGACGACGGGGTGGTGCCGGAGCCGGTGGCGGCCAGGATGGAGGGCCCGGCCTGGCTGAGTAGCCACTCCACAGTCTGCCCGTCGGAGTTGAGCCCTAGCTCGCGGGTGAGCTGCAACACGCGCGCCGCGCACATGCCGCCCACGCCGTTCACCTCGCCGTGCCGATCCTTGGCAACCTTCGCCGCCCCCCGCCTTTCTCGGCTTTGGCATCGCGCTCCTGGAGCTCACGTACACGCTCGCCGTGCACATGCCGCCCGCGCCGTTCACCTCGCCGCGCCCGCCTTTCTCGGCTTCGGCATCACGCTCCTGGAGCTGACGTACGCGCTCGCCGCTCGACCCCAAGGCAGTGCTGCTCCGCTCGCTGCGCTCTGCAGCGGCCGTACCGCCCCCACTAGGTGTTCGACGATATGCCGGGGTGAACATGTCACCAAATGAAGCAGCACCGTTGGGTTCATACGCTCTGTCCGGACGCCGAAGTCTGTCCGCTGTCTGTTTTAACGACCCAGACAAATAAAATGTGGATAAAAACAGATTACAAAAATGGGGTTGTGCGTTGAAGTTGGTCTACGTCGCGAAGCTCAAATCCAAGCTCCGCGGAATCTGTAGCACATAATACTACCCGTGTGATTAAGCTCATGTTGCTTCCCCAACAAAGAACTACTCCCTCCGTTCGGAATTACTGGTCTCAGAAATGGATGTATCTAGAACTAAAATACGTATAGATACATCTATTTCTGTGACAAGTAATTCAGAACGAAGGAAGTACCTACATAATCACATTTTAGTTTTTCTCGATCCAAATAAGGATTTATATATACTCCCTCCATCCCAAATTAGTTAACTCAGATTTGCTTCACTTTTTTCTTGAGTTTAGAGTTGCTTGGGTGTGCGACCATCCACTAATAAAGTGGCACATGTTCTGAGGGTGGTATCAAGTCATCGTGTAAAATCTGGCTTCCCGTGTCTCTCGAGTGTGTTAGCTCGGGGATTGTTTCGGATTGGGCCCTAAACTTTGAATAAAGCAACAACGTTCCTCTAAAAAAAGATTTATCTGGATACAGATGTATCTAAACATGTTTATCTTTTTGTGGGTAATATTTAGACATGTTTTAGTTAGATACATCTATACCTGACAAATACTTCCTCCGTCCAGAAATGCTTGTCATCAAAATGAACAAAAAAATTGTATCTAGAACTAAAATACATCTAGATACATCCCCTTTTATCCATTTTAATGACAAATATTTTCAGACGGAAAGAGTATAAGCCAACTAATTTGATACGGAGGTTGTACTTATTGACAGAAAAATTAAGTATAAGCCCTCCTAAAATCTGTTTTCCACAATCTGGCGAACTCGCGTGCCAGAGAGCCATTTTTAGGCCCCGTTCGGTGTCCATCCGCTCCACTGCTGAGCCATTTTTAGGCCCCATGTCCATCCGCTCCACTGCTCCGCTCCGGGAACGGACGAAGCTGCAGTGAAAAGTTTTGGAGTGGGTGAAACGATGCTCCGCGGATTGCAAGGAGCCGGCGCATCGCCGAATAGGGCCTTACTCTGGCTGAGACCATTGGCACGGTGTCCGGACGGCCCAGCCCCTGCGTCTATGCTTGCCATTGGCATGGCGAGCGGCAGGATGAGTACGGAGAGTCTTCCGGGTGACCAACATAGCACGTCGCGAAGCTCAAATCCAAGCTGGCTTGCCACGGGACAGTGTACACACTTGATAAATAATGGGGCAAATTCACTATCCATCGTGATTTACCCGGGCAACGTGGAAAACAATGAGCTTCGGCTAATATTTAAATAATGACTAATTAACATATGGAGTGGTAATTCTAAAAGAAGCTAGGGTGGAAGGCGATTCCGGCGATTCCGATAGAATCGCCAAAAAAACTGACCCTATATAAGCCTACAAAGTGCACTCCCTTGATCAAGCGTAATGTGCAGCAGTCATGGTCTGCCATTCCCTTCTTCCAAGAAAAATACTCGAGAGAAATCGAGCAGTCACAGACTTGTTCTCTCCTAAAAAAGGGAAAAAAGAGCCTGTTGGGCACCAACGGGGCACTTCGGCTGTTTCCTTTCTCACACCCAAAGAAATGACATTTTTTTTACAACAAACTTGCTCAAGCGTTACACTCACGTATTTTTTTATGAAGAAATGACTTTAGTGGTATTGTTGGTGAAAAAAAACAAAATTAGCACTATATTAGTGTGAATATATTCAATTATGAACCCCAGGCTCATCTGCTCTTAATGAACAGAAAAATCTCTTAATGAACAGAAAAATCAAAAGAAAATATAGAAGAAAATTCAAAAGAAAAATCTCAATTTTTTTGTCAACCAAGACACTCATATGCGTGATGTCCAGAAAAATTTCATCATGTTTGGACATCTGAGGACCTTATAGCAAAATAGACAAAATCGGTCTTAACATTGCATGAAAAGTAAACTTTCTCATAGACCCTACTTTTTTCTGCCGAGAGCTACTCATATGTGCAAACACAACCAAATTTGACTCGGACATCACACACTCAAACGTCTTCTTATGCCAAAATAAAAATAATCAGTTTCTTTTAAAAAATTGCTAGTATTTTTTATTTTACTGTTCACACAAAGGAGCCGGATCGCCCTGTCCATATATTAGTGTTACTATTCCCTCTATATTTTCCTAAAAAATTGTTTTTCCTGCTAAGATTTTTTACAGGTTATTTAGATGAAAATTTTATACGAGTATGTCAGTAGGTCAAGTTTGTTCGAAAAAAGTTTCAAATATTTTTTACTTTTATTTCTCTGAATTATACAATTAGGCTCAAGCCTGTCCAGGCTTCACAAAAGTTCTGGCTCCGCCACTGAATCCAAGCTCCATGGAATCTTTAGTACATAATACTACTCGTGTGATTAAGCTCCCGTTGCTTCCCAGACAAATAACTACTACATACTAGTCCATATCTTTTTCTCGATCCATTCCAAGCAAGAGTTTATATATACTTATCTCAACAGAAAAACTAACTAAAACTGGTTTTTCTAAAAATCCTCCCAAAGCTGGTTTTCCACAATCTAGCGATCTCTAGGAGAGTGTTGGGATCTCCTCCGCTCCCAGCTCCTGGATGGTTGGCTGAGGCTCCATCTCCCAAATCAGGAGTAGATATCATGTTCGGCAGCTAACTCCACTCTCTACAGTCAGCTTGGTGTGGTTCAGGTAGACGCTGCATGCGAGCGAGAAAATTGGATCGAGTGAGCCGGCAAGTTAGGCCCTGTTTAGTTCATAAGTTTTAGGACTTTTTTTAGTCCCAATTTATAAGTCTCAAGTCCCTAAAAAATTCCTACCTGTTTGGTTCCTGGGACTTATAAGTCTTTATAAGACCATATTACAACTATAAGTCTCTATAAGTTCCTCCTTGAAAGTCTTATTTTATAAGTCCCAAATGCCCACTTTAAGTCCCTATAAGTCCCTCCTATTTGGTTTAGATGGTACTTATAGGGACTTATTTAAGTCCCTAGACCAATAAGTCCATGAAAACAAACACCCTCTTAGTCTGTTAGTGGCACGTGGAGCTCGGTTTCCTGCTGGATTGAACTACAGTCTGCTCCGCTCCACTCTTCATGCTCCATGGAGTTGTAGCATTCGGCACCGCTCCGCTCGCTCCGGAAGCAGAGCTGGGGAGTGCCGGAGCAGAGTGAGGGGGTGTTTGTTTAAAGGGACTAGAAAAAGTCCCTCTTAGCTTTTTAGAGACTAAACTAGGCATTTGAGACTAAATAAAGAAGACTCTCAAGGAGAGTCTTTTTGGGACTTTTCCAACAATGCCCCTCCATGCACCTATTGACCCGCCACCCCATGGTGTTGTTTAATTGTTATTTTTCTATATATTAGGGACAACATGATCATTTAATAACCTCTAGAAAGGGACTAGGGACTTTTTAGTTTCTGGAAACAAACAGGGGAGGGACTTTTTAGGGAAAAGACTTTTTAGTTGGGACTAGAAAAAGTCCTAGGACCGGAGAACCAAACACCACCTGAATCCAAACACGCTCTAGGCAGCAGGTTTTATCCGCTGTAGCGTCTTCTTCTTTTGCAGTAGGTTGTGGCCTGCGTGCCCTTTATCTTGTTGTGTCTATTCTATCCGCCGTCGGGCTGCCGATACTGTGTGTGTTTCTGGGACTGGTGGTTTTGTTTGACTTTATTTGCAAAGTTGGGCATATGCCTTTCTCTAAAAAAGGTAGTAAGTTTTTGCTCCGCAGTTAATTTTGACGGCCAACAACAGCTGCAACAATAACAAAGCCTTTAGTCTCAAACAAGTTAGGATAAGCTAAAGGTGAAACCCCCTAAGATCCCTGCAGTTAGTTTCGACGGTTGTATTTCCATTAAGCGAATAATGGAAAGGGGTAAAACTCGGTTGGAAAAAAGGGGAAATAAACTATGGGCTAGACACTGGCACCCCATTACTGAGCTGAGCTGAGCACATGACTAATCACCAGATGTGGAACACACACAAGACAATGGAATCTTAGCAACAGAGTGCCCTGCACTTTCCTGTTTCCCCAGGTTAAGTACACAGATCAATCATGGCACATGAGGTTAAGCACAAGCCGCAGACGGCGCCGCCGCCACGCCATGTGTTAGCCATACTCTCATCATCAGCACATGCCGACGGAAATTCGCGGGGACAAGGAGTTCGGAGTCCCATCTCTGCTCTGCTGCCCTAATAACATGCTAAAACTCCCCGGGACTGAGATTCAGATCTGGTTCTAGAAGCCCATGCCCATGATTGCTTACAGGGACACTCGTCGGTCGGCTCACCGGCAAATCGCCGTGATGCCTTGCCGGCCCTACGAGAAGTCTCATCACGCCATAGGGTTAACCACCATGTGGGCGCGGTGGTTCTGGGACAAGAAAATGGGGACAGAGAGAAATCGGTGGCACCATCGGGTGTCCCCCGCTGTCCTAATCTCTCTGCCCCATCTCCTCATCATTTTTAGTGGGGAATGATACGATATTGACAGGCCCTGGCATCCTTGTCACACAACATTTCATCTCCCCGATGCACTTGCCATTGGTTTATGCCACCCAAGATCCGGTGTGCCTTTGTGTTGTTAAATCTGAACTTTCGAGGAATTTTTTTTGGTGGTGGTATCGCACTTACCGAGTAGTAGGGCGCCGTGGAGACGACGCTGGTGGGCTCGGCGGCGTCGGCGGGCGACAGGGCGTAGAGCGCCGCCATGAAGAGCTGCGTGGATCCGGTGCCGACGAGGACGTGGTAGCCGTCCACGGCGGCGTTGCCGACGGTGCGGTGGAGCCGCCGCACCTGCTGGTCGAACAGAGGCTCCATGAACCAGCATACGTTGCCAACGTCTGAAAAGTAGGACATCGTCTGCCACCCCGGGATTACGAGCTCCGCCGCGTCGCCGGTCTCCCGCCAGAAGGCCTCAAACATGGTCGGGTCCCCGCTGCAGCCGACAGAACGAATGTCAAACGCGTTTGTAAACTGAGATGAGATGGGAATAGATTCGAAGTTCTTTTAAAAAAAGAGGTGAGAATAGATTCGAGCGCGGGCGGCCATCAACTAAGATTCGAGCTCATGTGGTGCTGCATCGATGGCGGGAATAGACTAGTTGCGAAAATGAGAGCAAAATCATGGCGACAGGTACATGCACCGCGGATGAATCTGGCATCGATCGGCCCCAGATCGGCATCCATTCCTCCTTGACATTGACACTGAACAGGGACATGCTCCGCCGGGCAGAACGCCCATCGCCGGCTCTTCACATTGCAGATATTTTGATGCACAAATTTACCACCGAAAAAATTACGAGGAACAGGGGCTTACTGGTCTAGATTAATAACAGAATCGGAGGTTACTGAAGGCTTCCCGGTCGACGGCGCCCTCGCCGCCGCGCCGCTCGTGCCCGGCGGCGGGGCGCAGGCGTGATGTTGCTGATCAGGAGAGATGACACCGGGGTGGTGCGGGTGGCTGACGATGTACTGGTGGAGTAGGAGCGGGAGTGCGGCGACATTCAATGCGACAGACGCAAAGATGAAGACTCGCCATAGTGGCATGCGCCCCGCCGGCCGCCTCCTGTCGGAGGTCTTGGTGGCGGAGCATACGCTGCCGCCGCCTCTTGGCTTCGCTCCCCGGAGCGCCGGGCCGCCGCCGTTCGCGGTCACAGCGTGTTCCTCTCGGCAGGGCGCGCCACCGCTGCCGCTGCCTCGGGGAGAGGCGATCACGTGCGCCGACGGCGGCATTAGGCCGCCGTTCACTTGGAGCTCCGCCGACGTGCGCCGTCGGGGCGCCGCCATGACGCCCGGAGGAATCGATGCTTTTGTGGTGTGAACCAGCCCAGCAAAAATCGAAAAAACAACAACTGTCTTTTGGCGAGAAAGGGCTCTTCGACCGGCTGGAATCAGCCGGGTTTTTGGGAAGAAAGATCTCCCTCCTGTTTCAGCTCGGACCTAGGACATCGGAGCTGATTTACTTTGAGCAAGTAATGAACCGCTCTCCCTCCTCTCTCTCTCTCTCTCTCTAGCGCTGAGGTGACTTCGCTGGCGCACAGGCCACTCTCTCTCCTGTTGGGCTGTGACTTTGAGCAGCTGAAGCACTGGAGCAGTGATGAGGACGAGAGAGGAGGTGGGGCAAGGAGAGAGAATAGACGTCTGTGGGATGGGAGGGGTCGACGGAGACCCAGAGCGTCCAGCCTGCCGTTCTGGCTATGGCGCAGAGGTAGAGGGAAGAGCAGCCGGCCTCCACTGCACGGCTTTATTTATATTCCTTCTGTTTATGTTCAGAGGTCCAGGGAGCGGGCCCTATGGATGTGCACTGCCCATAGCTCCTACTTCAGCGACAGCGAGGAATTGTCAAATACTCGTTCTATAACGTAGTTTTTTATTAAAAAAACTCAAACCTTATAAACTTCGATCATATTATAGAGAAAAATATATTTGAAATATCAAATGGATATCATAAGAGACATTATGAGTTCTATTTTCATATCATAAGAAACTCGGCTGGGCAGCCGTTGGATCAAAAGCATGCTGAGATTCGTGCTGTTGTGTAGTTGTACTATCTTTTTTAAGGCTTGTAGTTGTATCGTCACGTTTTTTTAAGGTGAAGTCAATTTTATTCATCAAAAATCACAGAGTGGGGGATACAATTCGGGTCATAAGGTTGGCCAAACCAAACGTGGTGCCCTAGATTCAACGAGAGTGAATACTTGTCTAGACTATGTGATGGGGCACCCCTCTGGTATTTCTTTGGCTCATCTTGTGTCTTCTGTATACAAAAAATCTCCAAAAAAATTCACTGCGTTTGGACTCCGTTTGGTATTAATTTTCGGCGAAGTAAAAAACAAGCAAAACGATAGCAACTGGCACTGGGCACTATGTCAATAGTCTCAAAAAATAATATAAAATTGCTCTAAAATGTTTGTAAAACATCCAAAAAGATAATATAACAACATGAAACAATAAAAAAATTATAGATACGTTGGAGACGTATCAGCATGCCAAGTTTAATTCCTACTCGCCCTCGAGTAGGTAAATGATAAAAACAGAATTTTGGATGTGGAATGCTGCCTAACATGTTCAACACATATTCTTTTCTTTTGTAGCATGGACATATAGACTTTTATATGATTCAAAGCAATAGTCTAGTTTTGACATGAAGGTTTCAATACTTGAGCATATCAACAAGCAACCATGTCTTTAAAAATATCAACACTAAAGCAAGTTATCCCTAGCCCATCATGCTCAGTAATTGATCCATTCATGAAACACACTCGCATATTAGCTATACCCAATGCTCAAGTACGATTATAGTTATAGCTGGCCAAACGGGCCATGCTAACAGGCCAACCCGGTAGCATGCAGGACCGACACGACTCGGGCTAAACGGGCCAGGCCCGGCACACGACACGCCATGGGCTGTGCCTGGGCCTGGAGGCTAGGCACGCAGGCCGGCACGGTACGGCCCGTTTATGTTTTTTTTGAAAAATATAAATATATATGTCCTATATAAATACCTAATACCCTAATATGTTTAATATTTTCATAGTGCATGCGTATTTTATTAGTGCTTGAATCTAAGTAGTAGTAGTGTTATAGTGTAGTCTTTGTATTTTTTGTATCCTTTTGTAATTATAGAGTATGTCTTGTATTCTTTTATTCTTTCAGATGGGAGTTTTAATGATGTACATGTGCTAATAAAACTCTAGATTTATCTCACATAATAGTCTACCAAATTTTGCAATTTTCTACATTTTTTGGCCTTTTTTGCTGTTTTCAGAGGTATTACGAAGAAAAAGAAAAAAATCACGCCAGACGGGCCAGCGTCCTCCAATGGGCCGGCGTGCCTGGGTGTGCCGCGTGCCGGCCCACGTAGCCTACGTGTCGTGCCTGGGCTGCTAGCTCCCGCCCGTGGGCCGGCATGGCACGACTCAGTTATTATTCGTGCCGAGACGGGCCGTGCCGTGCCAGGCACGTTTACGGCGGGCCGGGCCGTGTCGTGCCGGCCCGGCCTGTTTGGCCAGGTATGATCATAGTGCCCCTTAGTTGGTGCTTTATAAAAGAAGATGGAGACTCAAATAAAATAAAAATTGCATAAAGTAAAAAAGAAAGACCCTTCGCAGAGGGAAGTAGGGATTTATAGAGGTGCCAGAGCTCAAAGCGAAAAAATAGAGATAAAACATTTTGGGTGGCATGCTTTTCCTGTCAATGAAAACGATCCAGTAGTTCTCAAACAGAAATTAAAGTTTATTCCTTTTTTCCACCATACTTTCACATTCCACGGCTAACCGTATCCACGGGTACCGTCCATACCAACACTTTTCAAGAAATTTATTATTTGACAACACAAAGTAAATTCATTTTTTTATTTCGGGATTGGGCATCCTTAATACCTTTGTCGTACTCTCGTGCAATGACAAGTGAATAAACACTCATCTTGAGAATAACACATCTAGCATGGAAAAATATCAGTCACCCATACCGTTTCATGAGCGGTACGAGCACACAAAAAGAACATTTATTTTGAAAATTAAAGATGGCACATACAAATTTTCTTAGAGTGGCAAAAAGAATACTACATATAGGTAGGCATGGTGGACTCATATGGCAAAACTGGGTTTAAGGATTTTGGATGCATAAGTAGTATTCCCACTTAGTGCAAGGGAAGGCTAGCAAATAGATTGAGAAGCATCCAACCAAGAAACGAAAAATCACATAAGCGAGCATTGAGCATAACTAACACCGAATAATGCACCACAAGTAGGATGTAATTCCATTGCATAACTATTGACTTTCGTGCTTGCATATGGAATCACAAACCTTAACACCAATATTCTTACTAAAGCATAATTACTCACCAACATGACTCACATATCATTATCATCATATCGCAAAACTATTACAAGGAATCACGTTTATTTTGTCCAATGATCTTTATGAAAGTTTTTATTATATCCCTCTTGAATATCTATCACTTTGGGACTAGTTTCATATGTTGCTTTTGATAGCTCAAATAAATTTACGTGAAGAACATGAGCATACAAATTTCTTCTCTCAAAATAATTAAAGTGAAGCATGAGAGAATTTCTTAAAAAAATTACTAACTCTCAAATAGATCTAAGTGAAGCATGAGACTATTTCTTCAAAATTATTAAAGCACACCGTGCTAAAAAAGATATAAGTGAAGCACTAGAGTAATTCCATAGCTCAAAAAATTTAAGTGAAGCACATAGAGCAATTCTAACAAATCATAGCATAATTTTGGCTCTCTCAAATAGGTGTGTCCAGCAAGGATAGATGACACACACTAAAAAGCAAAACAAGCAAAGACTCATATAATACAAGACGCTCCAAACAAAACTCATGATATGTGACGAATAAAAATATAGCTCCAAGTAAAATACCGATGGTCGTTCGAAAAAAGAGTGGATGCCACTCGGGGCATCCCCAAGCTTAGTTGCCTGTTCCTTTTTGGATAATAACTTGGGGTGCCACGAGGCATCCCCAAACTTAGGCTCTTATTACTCTTATTCCTTCATCCATCGTGATCTCACCCAAAACTTGAAAACTTCAATCGCACAAAACTTAACAAAATCTTCGTGAGATCTGTTAGTATAGCAAAGCAAATCACTACTCTAAGTACTGTTGCAAACCCATTCATATTTTATTTCCGCAATATATCTACTGTATTCCAACTTTACTATGGCTCATACCCGCCGGTAAAGTCCATAGATTCATCAAAATAAGCACACAATGCAAAGAAAAACAGAATCTGACAAAAACAGAATAGTCTATAGCAATCTGAAATCTACGAATACTTCTATAACTCCATTTTTTTGAAAAATTAGGACAACGTAGGAAATTTGTATATCAATCTTGTGTAAAAACATAAGAATTATATCACACTTTTGTGATTAAATAAATTTTTTACTGGTGCAAAAGTTTCTGTTTTCAACAAGATCAAATCAACTATCACCAAATATGATCCCATAGGCTTTGCTTGACCCAAACACTAATTAAAACATGAAAACACAACCATAACAGTAGCATAATTTTGCAAACACTCAAGAACATAAATAAAAAGGCAAAAATAAAATTTATTCATTGGGTTGCCTCCCAACAAGCGCTATCGTTTTACACCCCTAGCTAGTCACTGAGATTTCGTTGATGCTCACATGAAAGATAATAATTAAAACACAAAGAGCGGATCATAAAACATGTGGTAAATAAAATTGAGTCTAATATACTTCCTATGCATAGGAATTTTATAGGCAAACAAATTATCAAGACAACAAATATCTAGCATATGCAAAGGAGAGAAATAAACATTGACAATCTCAACATAACGAGATGTAATCTAGTAACATGAAAATTTCTACAACCATATTTTCCTCTCTCATAATAATTACATGTAAGATCATAATCAAATTAAACAATATAGCTATCATCAAAAATTTCTCTTCATGATCCACATGCATGCAAAGTTGACACTCTTCCAATATAGCGGGATTATCATCAAATAAAGTCATGACCTCTCCAAACCCACTTTTATCAAAATTTTCATAAGATTGATTAATCTCCAAAGTAGTGGGATCATTATTACCTAATGTAAAAACTCTTCCAGACCCACTTTAAATATTATTGCAAACATTACTATCAATATCATAATCATTATGAGGCTTAAATAAATTTCCAAGATCATAAGAAGCATCACCCAAATCATGATCATTACAATAAGTAGTGGATATAGCAAAATTAGCATCCCCAAGCTTGGGTTGCATATTATTAGCACAATTGTC